GGTACGGGCGCAACACTGAGGGTTGCGATCCCGTTACTGGTCACGAAAAAAGACAAAAAGGTATAAATAAATTAATTAATTAATTAAAATAAAATAAAATAAGATAAAAACAACATTCTGTCCAAATCTCAAACCAGTCTGTATGAAGGGATTCTGGTCACCTTCCACAGTCTTTGTTTTTCGACTGTCCCTCAGGGAAGCCGTGGGAAAGCACGCACAGTTCCGGCAGATGTGCAACAGCTTCTTTGTAGACCTGGTGTCCACCATGTGCTTCAAGGACAATGCTCCACCACAGAAGAGGGTGATAGAGGACCTGCTCTCGTTACTCTTTGTACAAAAGGGGCTCTTAAGAGATGCTCCCCAAAGTAAGTTGCTTTCTTCCTAGAAACCTACAGATTCACTTCTTCCTCTCACTTTAGTGTGTCTGATGTGACAGTGAGCTACCTTTCTCTTTCTGGTTTAAGGAAGCCGTGAACACACAAAATCTCTGTCTCCATTTGATGACGTTGTGGACAAGACTCCTGTCATCCGCTCAGTGCTGCTGAAACTGCTACTGAAGTACAGGTGAGAGAGTTAACTTGGAAATTGGCTTCAGAAAGCCCTGACTTCTTTTTTTCTTCATCATGGCTTTGTCTGGGTGCCTCATATTTTTCTCATGATCAGTAGCTGATTTTGGAAAGCTTTTTCAGTGAGGGACAGCCTGGTTTACTTATCTGCGTTGGTTGTGCGCTTTGACATTTTCGCACATAGGCACAGGAGTCTAGCACAGCTACAAGTGCTATGTAGCAAGAAGAAGACAGAACACTGGGAGGGGACTGTGGCTGGGAAGGGACTGTGGCGCTGTGAAGCGTGCAGAACTCAGGGCCAGGAAGCTGCCACTCTCACCCGACTTGCACAGCTCCCTTGTTTTGTGATTTTTAGGATGGTAACCTAGACTCTCCCTCACCTCAGTGTCCTAGCTGTCCTCTGCGATGACATTCTGCTGAGCAAGGACTCCATGCATGTATTTCCTCGGTTAGGTTGGGTGTTGACAACATCCAGGAGTAGAATCCCCGTGGGGTGCGCATCGATCTAGTACCACAGTCCTCAGCGCATCGATGTGGACCCTTGGGGTGTGGGGGAGGGGGTTCTCTCACGGTTTTTGCTATTTTCAACATGTTGGTTTGCAGTGATGTCACAGAAGCAGAGGTAGAAGCTGCCAGCATCTTGGCATGAAGAAGACTGTAGCAGCAGCCGTGTCTCCTTCCCCATTGTGCACAGAAGTTCTTAAAAATGCCAGTTTCGGGCCAGCCCAGTGGCGCACTGCTGTAGTGCGCCGCTTGGGAAGCGCAGTGGCGCTCCCGCCGAGGGTTCGGATCCCACATACAGACCAGTTCCCGCTCACTGGCTGAGCGAGGCGCGGGGGCGACACCGAGGGTTGCGATCCCGTTGCTGGTCCCGGTCTGGTGCGGGGGCGACACTGAGGGTTGCGATCCGTTGCCAGACACGAAAAAAGACAAAAAGGAAAAAAAAAACAAAAAAACAAAAAAATGCCAGTTTCACCTACTAATTTTACTTAATCTTTATCCTTGAGAATTTGACTTTTTAAATATTCTGTGAACTTAGAAAGTACACACAAACCACTCCAGTGCTTACCAAAGTAAAACTGTTATCTCAGAGAAAATCCCTCAGAACAATCTTGTGAGGTATGAACAGGCTGTTTTTTTCATGGAATGCCATCATGCTTGAAAGAATGACTGACAAACTACGGTTATTCAGATCTGGGTGGCTGACAAACACTTTTTTGAAAACAGTGAGCTGGGCCGGCCCGGTGGCGCACTCGGTAGAGTGCGGCGTTTGGGAGTGCGGCAGCGCTCCCGCCAAGGGTTCGGATCCCATATAGAGACCTGTCCGCTCACTGGCTGAGCGTGGTGCGGGCGCGACACCGAGGGTTGCGATCCCGTTACCAGTCCCGGTCTGGTGCGGGGGCGACACTGAGGGTTGCGATCCGTTGCCAGACACGAAAAAAGACAAAAAGGAAAAAAAAAACAAAAAAACAAAAAAATGCCAGTTTCACCTACTAATTTTACTTAATCTTTATCCTTGAGAATTTGACTTTTTAAATATTCTGTGAACTTAGAAAGTACACACAAACCACTCCAGTGCTTACCAAAGTAAAACTGTTATCTCAGAGAAAATCCCTCAGAACAATCTTGTGAGGTATGAACAGGCTGTTTTTTTCATGGAATGCCATCATGCTTGAAAGAATGACTGACAAACTACGGTTATTCAGATCTGGGTGGCTGACAAACACTTTTTTGAAAACAGTGAGCTGGGCCGGCCCGGTGGCGCACTCGGTAGAGTGCGGCGTTTGGGAGTGCGGCAGCGCTCCCGCCAAGGGTTCGGATCCCATATAGAGACCTGTCCGCTCACTGGCTGAGCGTGGTGCGGGCGCGACACCGAGGGTTGCGATCCCGTTACCAGTCAGTAAAAAAGACAAAAAGGGGAAAAAAAAAAAGAAAAGAAAACAGAGTGAGCTGGTCACATCAAAACAACTGTTTGTTGCTAATAACAAAATTCAAGTTTTTAAGCAAAAATGAGAAATTTGGAAAACATATCCTCTATTATTGAGCTTGTCTGCTTTCTAATACTTCACGACTTTTTGAGATCGGTTGGAGCTATTAATGAATGTGGGTGGGTTTTTAAAATATATTGTAGAATTAAAATGTGTCAACTTTTGCAATTTTTGCATTGCTCAGTGAACCATATTTTCCAAATAACCACTGCCTGATATCACAAAATCATGCACGGGTCAAAAAAATCCAGTTGAAGTGCAACATAGACCATTTGGTTTTAATGGAAATGGATTGATATGGTTTCAGGTTCCCCACTGCAACTAACCTTTACAAATGATTATTGATGAAGTTTTGGTACAGTATCAAAGAGGAATATCCACAATTACCTACAGACACTATTGAAATATTTCTGCCTTTTCTAACTTCATAAGGTGCAAGGCCAGATTTTCTTCATACAGTATTTCAATAGAGGACAAGCGATTGGAAGCAGAAGCAGATAAAAGAAGTCAGCTGACTTCTTTTAAGTGAGGCATTAAAGAAATTTGCAGGAATATAAAACAAAACCACTCCTCTCATTAATTTTTGTTTGGAAAATAGCTTATTTTTCAAATGTTATTTATTTTAACATTTAATGGGTTTATTTTTATTTTAAATGAATAAATATTTTTGAAATTTTTCAGTTTTAATTTCTAATACTGTAAATAAGATAGATATAACCCACATAAACAAAAGCTTTTTGGGTTCTCAATAATTTTAAAGACTGTAACAGGGTCTTGAAACTAAAAGTTTGAGAACAGCTGATCTAAAATATGGAATTTTATATTTCTCAAATATTGTGCTAAAATATTTTCAATAAAATCATGTTACAAGTTATATATATACACGTATGTATGTATACATTTATACACACACACACACACACAGAAATAGATAGATGAATAGATGCTTTTTCTTTTTTATGAGTCTGCAGATCTGAGATAACCAGGGATAATATTTGTCTTTCCACAGCTTCCATGAAGTAAAGGAATATATTCAGGACTACTTGTCCCTGTTAGAAAACAAAGCATTCCTAATGGAAGACAAAACTGAACTGTACATGCTTTTTATCAGCTGCCTGGAGGTAAGCTAGCTGTCACGCCTACATTTCTCTTGCTAACTGTCTGAACCACGTAGTTCGTGCAGTGAAAAAGTGTCTCTGAAAATGCACAGAATACATCAGTACAGTTAACGGATGCTGTGCTCCACGCAGAAAAAAAGAAAGGTTCCAAAGACACAGCTTCTGCCTCCAGCGGTTGTGCGTATTGGCATTTCTGTGCGTGTACTTGCAAAAAGAACTGACGGCCTAGAAGAATACACCACCAAGGGTAGCAAAGGCTGTCACCTGGTGGCAAGACCACGAGCACAGTTTATTTTTATTCTCTTTATATTTTTGTTGCCAAAATGGTTTACAACACACATCAAAAATTAGATTACACCACATTTTTTCCTCATAGGCTCACATTTTCCTTTCCTTCTTGCCCCTAAAATCAAAAGGGTGTTAGCTTTCCACGATTCAAAAATGTACACTGAAACCTATGGCAGTGTTCTTTATCCTTCCATTAGTCTCTACTGAGTCACACTGGCAATTTTAGGAGGCTGTGGATTTGCACATTAAAAAGAATATCCTTTTCTTTCTTGTTCTTTGCTCCTTAGGATTCACTACACGAGAAGATCAGTGCTTGCTCCAGAAATGAACTGCACTACCTGAGAGAGGAAGGTCATTTCCTCAAGACATGTTCCTCAGGAAGACGTGGCCAGGAACCTGCCACCGCGGCATCAGTTGAATACCTGCAGGAGGTGGCCAGGATCCGCCTCTGTCTCAACAAGGCTTCTGATTTCCTCTCAGAGCTTCCACAAGGCTCCGGCAAGTCCTCCCACCTTTCTGTACCTTGGGCTGAGAGACCCTCCTTAGTGAGAGACTCAGGAAGTGTGGGGACCTGTTTCTTACCATACATCTTTCTTCCGGAGTTTCTGTACTGTGAATTCCTGAAGATAGGTTCCGTGCCCTTGGACTGGAGTGTGTTCTGTGACAAATGTCCTCAGTCACCGGTCACTCACCCATTTCTCGCTGACCCTTCAGGGATGGCCGAGGAAAAGCGACGCTACCTGCAGCAAGTTAAGCACTTCTGTGCCCAAGCCAAGAATGGCTGGTACCAAGTGTACCTGGTGAGGAAGCTTGCGAGCCAGCGAGGGATGGAGTTTGTGCAGAGCCTCTCCCAGCCGGGCCATCCATCCCAGTGGGTGTTTCCAGAGGCAGTGGTGGCACAGCAGGTGAGAAGGGGTCCCTGGCAGAAGGGGCGGGCATGCCGTCGCAGCCCATACCCCGGGGCAGGTGCTGCTGCCCTGCCTCGTGGCCCCTTGACCCCCCACCCTGTAGCACATGTGTCTGTCTGCTTCTTTGTCCCTGAGCTTAACTCACTTGACCTAGCTCTTGATAATGTTTAGGCCGCCTGCCACAGGGCAAAGACAGTCATGCTTGTACTCGTGTGTGTGTGTGCATGCATGTATTTCTGGTTTGTCATCTACCTGCAAAGCTTTTTTAGGCATCAATTCTAATCGAGTCTGACACAGGGAGAGTAAAAGAATGTTTCTGTGGCCTTTGCTTTCAGCAAATTAAAATGATTTCGGCTTGCAGTTTGTGCCCTGTTTACCTCTGACAGGCGGAGGCAGGGAAGAGTGAGACCAAGGACAGAAGAACCACAGTGCGTCTGGCTTTAGGGCCTCCAGGCGGCCCGGGCCATATGCTCAGAAATTAACAAACTTACTGTCCTGGGGTTACAAGAGCAGAATTAAAAATCCGGCCTTTTTTTTTTTTTTTTCTTTTTTAAACTACCAACCAGGGTTTAGCGTTAGCACATTTTAAGTCAGCTGGCCTTTGGTGCAGTGCTCCGGGTGGAGACAGCAAGCAGCTGAAAGGTCAGCGCTGACTACTCCTCAGGCTTTTTGTCCACTTACCCCTCTTCATCGACAGGGGGGGAAGTGTTTCCCAGAGACAGCACTGGACTGTCCTGCCTGAGCCAGACCAGGGAATCCCAGTTCAGCCGCCTGTAAGCCTCTAATTATTGCCTGGCTTCTTTACCTATGGAGACAGTTCTGTCCTGACCGTGACTAACCCCTGTGTCACTGGGGTTGCAGAAGGACCAGCCAGGCCAGATGGACCGATACCTGGTATACGGTGATGAGTACAAGGCTCTTCGTGATGCAGTGGGCAAAGCTGTCCTCGAGTGCAAGCCCCTGGGCATTGTGACAGCTCTCAAGGTAGGAGGGCCCCAGGCTTCTCTCTGGCACCAAATGGCACCCCCACCGTCTGCCTCTTCCCTTGTCCCTATCACATGGTGCAGGCTGGCATACTGAAGAGGCCCCAGAGAGCAGCACACTGCATGGGAAGTCACACACCCATGGCCTCCACGGTACACCTAGGACAGGCCAGCAAGAACAGTCGAATTAGGCTGGCAGACTTGCTGTATCTTGCTGACCTGCCAAGGTCAGGAGCAGCTCCTTTTTTATTTGTTTATGTCCATTACTTCCTTTGAGACACTGCTGAAAAAGCATTTCCATGGGCCGAGCCCGTGGCGCACTCTGGAGAGTGCGGCGCTGGGAGCGCAGCAACGCTCCCGCCTCGGGTTCGGATCCTATATAGGGATGACCGGTGCTCACAGCGCTCACTGGCTGAGCGTGGTGTGGCCCGTCTCAAAAAAGGACAAAAAAAAAAAAGCATTTCCTACAGGATTGCTTTGAAATGAAAGATACTGGCACAACAAGGAAAATTCATATCTGTGTATATTCATAATTCATATATATATATGTTTACGTGTGTGTGTGTGTGTTTATTTTTATTTTTTTTGACACCTGGCTGGTTCACAGATCTTGACCTTGGTGTTATCAGCACCACAGTCTAAGCAAGTGAGCTACCTGACCAGCCCCATGTGTTTATTTGAATAAAGATGCAAGATTTGTAGGATCAAACCTCTAAATTATGGTCTTGCTTCCTTTTTGAGTCCCTATTTACCCTGGCATTGTGCCAGGAAAAGAGGAAATAGAAAATCCTCTCTCTGCTCAGGGAAAGCTTCTAAGACCAGTAAACGAGTCAGAAAGAGAACACAAGGAGATTTCTGTCACTTCTCTATAAGCTTTCTGATAAATATGCATCAAGTTTAATTGGAGAATATTTTATGAACCTTGTAGCCCAAGAGTGTTCTGCCTGAGGGGCCTGGTTCCAGGTGTCTTTGGGGCTCAGGTACATTCCATATTCACATGCAAATCACCCAGGGCTCTGGCCCTTACACAGATCCGTATATATTTAAAATGCTCACTTGATAACCTTGCTTTTGCAGGCCTGCAGAAACCCCAAAACACAACAGGTAGTCCACTTACTGTTAGCACTTTTTAGAGAGGTGGCTGTTTTGTACGGATCCCACAATGCAAACCTCCATCCGAAGCCAGAGGTGAGTAACAACATTCAGGGCTCGTGTTTGTAGTCTCATTATTCAGATGGAATTTTCCAAGTAGAATGAAAGTCACAAACATGAACCATGCCCGTAATTTCTTATCTAGAGTGGAAGTTTTCTACCTTGTTATGTGGAGGAAGTAGTTTCTGATTAACCCAAAGCTTGCAGAATTAAAATGAAAACCAAAGTTAAGAACTTAAAGATAATGTTTACCAGAATAGGTTATCAAAATTAATGCTTAGGTTATGTGATTGCCATGTTTGTGTTTGTCTGAAGAATTTCCCCACAAATGGTGATAATTCAACCATATTTACGTTGATATTTGAAGTGTATCTGGTATCCAAGTGTATGATGAACTAAGAGCAAACCTTTGAATTCACATAACATTCCTCTTGATACATCTTAATGTTAAAAACATTGTTTCCTGTTAGCAACGGGAGGCTCTGAAGACATTCATTGAAGAAAGCAAGATCCTTTCTACTCCTGGTATCAGAGATTTTGCCACATCCCTGGTGGCCAATACTCTGCCATTGCTGAGGACCAGACCCAGTGACGGTGGCCTCGAAGGAACAGTGTTAGAAATGGCCATTCACACTGCGGCCATCCTTCTGTGTGGACAAAACAGAGCCTTGGAACCCTTGAAGAATTTGGCCTTCTCCCCAGACAAGATGGTGGTAAGAGTGGGCTATGACGACGTCAGCTTCCACAGGGAAAACTTCACGTCTGCCACTGTAGAGACCAGCCTGCGACCCTGAACGCTGTGTCTGTGTCTCGCTGGATCCTCTGTCCCATGTGGTGGTGACAACCTCGCCTTGCCCTTTGTTATTTCACAGAGAGCTGTCATATTTTCCTCATAGATAGCTTTTGGGGTCAAGAAGAAAGGAAATAAATTCGTTTTCTTACTCTAGGCATTTTGCTGAACAGCAGAAGCCAATCACGGTGCTCACTTATCAAGAGCTATCTCTGCTTTTTGGTTTTCAGAACGCTTTTCTTCCAACGATGCCTGAAGACATGCTGGCTCAAGCTAGGAAATGGAAGGGCCTGGAAACAGTCCGCTGGTATAGTAAGTGCTGGTGTCTGAGATGGAATCACACTCCTCCCATCTTTGAAGGGCTTCCGACTGCCACACAAGGCATTGGGTTAAACTTGGGGTCCACATAGTTTACACCTAAAGATCCAAAATCCCCTGCCTTCTTCTGCCTCCACCACCTTTGCAGAATATGAATGGCTCGAAGGAACCAGCACTCTGCTGGCTGCATGATCCAAATCATTTCATTTCTAAGTTGTGGGGAAAGGATTCTTTGAGATGCATGTCTGCTCTCAAGATATGCCATTCTGGGAGACAGGAGGACTAGGATCATACCAGAGGCTCATTCAAAGGCCAGTCACAATACACAACAAAGTTTTTGACCCAGAAATTAAGTACAGAACTGAGAGACTGAATAAAATAACCCATGACTTTATGTAAATTTTGCTGTTGCCTTGAGTAAATAATCTTTTTAAACTGGTTTCAAAAGTTGTTATACACATGCTTGTGGCAAAAAGCAAAAAAACAGTCAGAATAGAAAGATATAAAATACTAACCACCATGCTTCCAAAAGTAATCCCTGGTATGAGCCAGTAATCTAATTCCTCTTTACTTTGTAAAGTTAAACTCAGACAGTTTTCACAAGATACATGTATTGAGCTCCAGGCATGTGCCAAATAACTAAACTAACAAAGTAGTTCAAGATTTCTGGCCATGCACTCCAGACGTCTACTGGACGTCATATTCTGGTCAGGGCCAGAGAGGAGAGAGTTCACTTTCCTTCTCAGTATAGGTCATTCACTGGCCAATGTGTGTCCTGTTGTTCTTTTAACAGCTTGTCGCAATGGCCACCCGTGCTCTGTAGGAGAGGTGAGTCTTGGTACTTTATATGGGGAGGAAGGGGGCTCAAAATGTTTGCTCCAGGCCGGCCCGTGGCTCACTCGGTAGAGTGCGGTGCTGATAGCGCCAGGGCCCCGGGTTCGGATCCCATAAATGGATGGTCGGTTCGCTCACTGGCTGAGCGTGGTGCTCACAACACCAAGTCAAGGGTTGAGATCCCCTTACCGGTCATCTTTTAAAAAAAAAAAAAAAAATGTTTGCTCCTCCAGGTCAGAGGAGGGGGAGAATGAAGGTCTCGACCTTCGGGGAGACCACAGGCTTGTTTTGAGTTGTTCATGGTGTTCCAACTAAGCATGTAAATGGTGCTAATGGTTTGGCCCAGGTTTCAGTCTCAGCACTGTGGGCATGATTGGTTATTGCGGGGCCCGTCCCATGCATTGTAGGTTGTGTAGCAGCATCCCTGACTTCAGGAGCACCCCTCCCCCACAGTGCGACAACCAAAAATGTCTCCAGACATTGCCAAAGGTCCCCCGGGAAACAAAACTGCCACTGGTTGGGAACCACCACTGGCCATCCTTTCTCGCCACCGCGGCGTGGGGTCAGTGATGTGTGTCTTTATAGAATGGCAGAGTGTTGCCGAGACCATAGGCGGGATTACTAGTGCAAGAGGAGGGATGGTCTAGATGCCAAAGGACAGAAAAAGGGAGAAACGAAGAACAAGGGCTGGCCGGTTAGCTCGGCTGGTTAAAGTCAGCCCCAAACACGAAGGTCAAGGGTTCGGATCTCCCTACCAGCCAGCCGCCGAGAAACAAAACACACACACAAGAAACAAGGTATAGGAAAAGGAGGCTCGTAGACTGTATGCCTGGGAGGGAAAGGACTGCGTGCTATTCGTCTCTGAGCTTCCAGGTAGCTAGCCCAGGCCCTTCAGGCAGCGCACCTGTACCTGCTGAGCAACAGGCTGTCGGATTGAACAGACTCGTGTTAGCTAAACAGTAAGAGACGTGGGAGGAAGATACTGATCCGTGTTCTTCGTCTTCCTGAGCTTCATTCACGTCCTTGTCCACGAAATGAGCAGACGGAAGCAGATTCTTTCCAAGATTTCTCCCAGCTCTGAAATTCCGTGGCCTGGGAGTCGGTGATCGGTTCAGTCTGGTATAGGCAGTGATTCACAGTGGACAGTCACGTACTATCTGGTTTTGAAAAATGAGCCTTTGGAAGTAGTAAATCATATGGTTGTTTTAAATTAAAAAGTCCATAGTGGAGTGAAGGAAACCCGCTTGGAAGCTATCATAGGATTCCTGGTGTTTGATTTGACAGTGAAGCACTGGAGACTAGTTGTGATAGATACAGGCAGAAAGTGATGAGCAGGAAGAAGGAAGATTGAACCACGTATGTCTGTCTGTAAAGTGCCGCTCCATTTGGAAGTAAGACTTCAGTTGTCTCACCTATTTTTTTGTTAAGTCCACATTTGCCCATGGACATAATTCTTTATTTGGGGCCTGTCCTGTGCATGACTTGCATCGAGTAGCTCCCCTGTCCCCCACGGCTGCCCACCTCCCCTGAAATGTACACTCTTGAGTAAGTGACCCTCAAGGTACCCCCTCCCTCCAGGAGTGAGGATGTGCTAATCTGCATGATGGCGATCGTGTGTCAAATTATACTGGCTCCAAAACTGACGGTGGCACATTGTCTTCGTCCTAGTGTGGCATGCCGATGGAACGGAGCTGCTGTGTTGACTGTGGGGCTCCAATTGGAGGCATTAATCACAGACCTCAGGACGGCTTTCACGTTATCGAGTATGTAAGATTATGTTTCCTTTCTAAGTAGTCAAACCATTGGGCTGTTTCTATTCCAGCTGAAAAACTGATACTTAAAATAATATCACTTACTGTAGTATATTTGGATATTGAATGTCAGTGCCAAGGTCCCTGTAGTCACACAGCAGTAAGGTGTTTGGCTCACTACACTCTTAAACACAAAGCCGACTACACATTAATGCTTATGAAAATTAACACACTTTAATACAGATGTCTTCAGTTTGGGCTGTGGGCACAAACCCCCGTAGAAATATGCTTGACGTGAACATGTGACATCATTCAGGGGGACATTTAAGTCTGCAAGACCAAAAGCTGAGAATTTGTCCATCTGAGCAGATCCATCTCACATGTAAGCTGTCTTATCTTTCTCCCTTTTTTTGGAGAAAAGTGAAGGAGACAGTCCTGTCAAATAACAGACTTCAGAATTCAGATGTAAATCTGGTCTCACAGTTCCACTCCACACTTGCTCCTGGGACGAGGGTGGTTGTCGATGCTCCCGTCAGAGCGCTGGTGGGGCCTCTCTGTGGTCGTCGGACACTCTGGTATTCTGACGCAGGCACAGCTTAAATTATTCTCACCCGTTGTCTCCATCAACTATCAGAATGTTCTCCAGTCTCTGATATTTGTGAATGTATCTGTCACAGTGTATACGTATCTCCATGTGGATGTGATACAAAATCCTTTGCCAGAACTTGGATCCCAGTTTTTGTTTTGGGAAAATAGAGAAGGATGTAGACAGTCCCCATGTTGATGCCACCTGTGCCAAACTCTTGCATCCTCAGCCTGTCAGCTCCTTTTCCCACAAAGATTTCAGGAGAAGAGATGGGCACAGACCTCTGTCCTGACACTCTGCACAGGGATCGGCAACAACAGCCACATAATGCCACCACTTCACACTGGGAATGTTGTGCGATTTGGTCAGCCAGAGAAGTGAGTCTATAAAGAGAGACTCTTAGGAGAGTGGTCTGGGCTTACTAGACTAGGAAGTTCTTTCCACGTGGTTTTTTTCAAAACTGTGAACTTCATCTCCAAGTCCTAAGAATCTGAAGTTTCACCAGTGCTGAGAGGAAATGACCATCTTCAGTCTTCCCACTGTCTTCTCTTGTCCTTTCCAGAATCAGCACAGACAGAACCCAGACTGGCCACGTGCTGGGCAGCCCGCAACACAGAGGTGTGGTGGTGGCGTCTGACCGAGAGCTGTCCCCAGTGGTCTTCGTTCTTATCCGGTTACTCGCTCACTTGGCTATGCTTCTTGGAGCTGCACAAAGTCCTCAGGTATATCACGGTACTGCTGAACTATGCACTTAGTTGCTGTAGGAAGAACCTGCTATGGTTTTTTCACAGCACATCGTTTGATCTAAAATGTCCTATCCAGGGGCCGGCCCGGTGGCGCACTGGATAGTGCGCCACTTGGAAGGCGTGGCGGCGCTCCCGCCCGAGGGTTCGGATCCCACATACAGACCGGTTCCCGCTCACAAGGGCTGACCAGTTAGCACAGTTGATTAGAGCACAGTGTTACAACACCAAGGTCAAGGGTTCAGATGCCTGTGCTGTCCAGCTGCCCCCCCCCCAAAATTTTTTTAATCAAATTAAATGTCCTGTCCAGGGGCTGGCTGGTTAGCTCAGTTGGTTAGAGTGTGGTATTGGTAACACCAAGGTCAAGGGTTTGGATCCCTGTACCATCCAGCCGCCAAAAAAAATCAACAAAAAACAAAGTAAAATATCCTGTCTACCACCTGTGGATTGGAATTATATCATTGATACCTAATCTACAAAATAATATAAAATTCACACATCCTGATTTTTCCCACTGTGGCAAATGATGGT